TATATATATATAGAATATATAAATTTTTTTTTAAATATTTCCAATGAGCTGAACAATAAGTTTTTCCCTATGAGCAGACCTAGTGCGTTCTCCAGAGTTGGTATCCACTTTTTCAGTACCGCCACAATGGGTGAGATACCGTTGGTCATGTTAATTTGGACGTTCAGTTTCTGCCACACTAGATGGCAGCACCGAGACTCTATTTGGATGCTAAAGTGCACTAGGAATTCTTATTTTTGCCGGAAATGCCAAGAGCCAATAAGGCACTCCAGGGATCTTTTACATGCCGCATAATCATACGACATGGCCGCTGAGGATTTTCTGCATCCCGAAAATCCGGTGTCTGGGCCGGGGATCGAACCAGCAGACTTGGGCTCAGGAGGCCGAGGACAAACCAACTGCGCCACCCAGCAACACACATATATATAGCATAAACGTTAATTATATTTCCAAAAAAAGAAGTTATAACCTTCGTTTCAGAGTTTACGTTGTCAATACGTCGCTCTATCGCCATAAGCCAAAGGGTATTGCTTAAAAAAATAGCTCACCTGCTCTTGAGGAGAAAATACAGCTGTACACATTAAGCTTAGTAAAGAAAGCAGAAGGAAAAATTTTTTCAAAAATATGAACTTGCTGAAGATAATATGAAAATGAAAATCTTTTTATTTCATGGGGTGTAATCGATCTGCAGATACCTTAATAATCTGAAGTGTCTTCTACCGTGCTGAAAGGTTTCTGCTGCAACCAGCAAAATATCATTTTAAGTAAAATTAATATATCTTTTAATACTGATAACTTACAAGGTTTGAACATTAGTAGTCGTAAACCCTAAATTGGGTCGGTTGTTCAGTGATGGTTATGAAATATTGATAACTGTATCGACTAGTCAACTCACCTTTTAAACTCACATTTAAAGTTAACAATGCTTTTTTGTTTAGCAAAGATATTCTTTCAAAAAATATCCTTTTTTCCAGGCTTTTAGTATTTCGTTCTTCATTAATTTTCATTTACAGAGTGCGGTATTAATGTAAAATTCAATATGTCTATTTAGGTATATAAAATCAGAATTAGTTTACCTCTTAGTTGACTTGGTGATCTTTCAGGTAGTGCAAGTGAATTTAGTGAGGATTCATTTTTTATATTTTCTGTGTCTTCGTCAATCGAAATGCCTTCCATATTAACATTATTTTGCTTGCTTAGTGGCTCAGTGAAATGCTTAAGTGCAGTTACAGAACTTCCCAAGAGCACGAGCAATAAAAATGCTGAGATTATAAATCTGAAAGTAAAAAATGTTAAGCTTACAAGAAAAGAAAATTGAGGTGTATACATTATGAGCATTACGATGTTTGTTACATTGCACAAATTCTTATTTCGAAGTAAAAATAAGAAAGTTTAATGTTTGTGTGAATTTTTAAAAATGGTATTGTCATCTTTCTTTTAGAAAAATGTAAAAAAAATCGAGTATAAAAAGTATTTCATCCGTTAACTTATTGGAATATTTTGCAATTGTTAAGAAATTAAAAAAGAAGTTTAAAAAAAAAAAACTGAAAGGGTAGAGTGCGCTGAATCTGTCTTCGTTAAACTGTTTTATCGTAAAGTGCTAGACTTTTCGCGAAGTTCGTTGGCCTGCTGAAGAGGGGAGCCATCCTCTCTGTAGAGAATCAAAATTGTTATTGCATGTCTTCGAATTATCTTTAGTGATGTTTCGACCGTCAGAATGTACATCTCTGTATCTATGCATCTGTGTATATTAATGTTAAATGAACAATTTCTAATAGAAAACTTTTTTTTTCAAATATAAAATTTTCTTAAAATTGCAAAAATTATTCTTATAAACCTATTTGCTGCATTATGTGTTGATTATAAAAATTAATTAATTAATAAATAAACAAGTTTTACACCTCTGATTTGGAAATTGCGAAAAATTACTTTTGATTCGGCTTTGAAGATAAAAAAGCTTTGTAATAAGTTTTATGTTGCCTTTAATAAAGTTTAGTAGAGTGAGAATAATTAAAAACAATTCACACTGATAAACTAATTTCTGCTAATAAGCTAAGAAATCATTTCCTATCACAAAACACGTGTTTATTCTTTAACAATTTGGTGTGTTTTCTCAGAGCATTTTTGCCGAGGAAAATTATAAAGTCATAGTTAAAAAGCCTTTCACTCGTAGCAAAGCTACATTCTTTTAATTATATGCACAGTGCGCAAAATTAAAGACGGTCAGCCTGAATAACTTTTGATCTAATAGTCGAATCGTTACGGACTAATTCTTAATGGTTCGAATGAGTGACCTCAAATATGCTAATTAATAGTACGTATGATATTTTAAGTTACAAAATCAGACACAAAAACGCACTCTTCTCTGAATAAACATATCGTTTTTCGACAAATTCGGATTTATGACTCCTAGAATATAAGGGATAGCTGCTATCTGGGAATTATGGTTCCAATAGTTTGAGCAGGAAAGAAGTCTATAGTTTGTTAATTTTACTTTCTGCGTATGTCGCCATACCACACGAAGTTTTCAAAGTGAATTGAAAATTTTTTTGTACAGAATTATAAAAATCATTTATCCGAAAATAATTTCATGCAAAAAGAACTTTTAGTAAATATTTAATATTTTATTTAATAATAGTCTAAAATATTTGCCATAAAGGTATATAAATTTTTAGATCTTTTTAACGAATGCAACTTTAAATAGCGAAATATAAAATTTGAGCGGAATCGTACGAATAGTTCCTGAGAAATCAAATTTTAAGTATCCGACTTTTTTTCAAATTCAATTTCTCAGAAACTATTCGACCGATTTTGCTCAAATTTCGTATTTTGCTATGTATAATTACATTCTTTAAATTGATGCAAAAAATTGTATACCCTACAATTAAAAAAATTTTCGACCATTCTTAAATAAAATAATAAATATTTACTGAAAGTTATTTTTTTGCATAAAATTATCTTTGGATAAGCAAATTTTATAATTGTGTGTAAAAAGTTTTCAATTCGCTTAAAAAGTTCGAAATATAGCGAAATAACCGATAGTAAAGGCTTTTTCAAAGTTTGGTCTCTCAGGAACTATATGACCGATTTCGCTCAAGTTTTGTATTTTGCCATTTAAAATTGCATTCTTTAAATTGTAAAAAAATGTGTACCTTACAATTTAAAATTTTTTCGACAATTATGAAATAGAATAACAAATATTTAGTATAACTTATAATTTACATAGAATTTTCTTGGATAAATGAATTTTATAATTGTGTGAAAATTTTTTTAAATTTCTTTTATAAATTCGTGATATAGAGAAATAAGCAAAAAGTAACACCCCCTATATTTTGGGGGTCATAAATCCGTATCCGTCAAAAAAGGTGTGTTTATTCACAGAAAGTACGATTTTGTGCCAGATTTCTTAACTTAAAATATCATCTGCACTAATTAAGAAGCATATTTGAGGTCAACCCCTTTGAATCATTAAGTCCTAGAACTTGAAGATCATTAGATCAAAAGTTATTTACAGTGGCTCGTTTTTTATTTTGCACATTGTTCACATACTTGCAAGTTATACGTTTCTCAAAAACGCTTTCCTTAATGGTTGTAAAATGATATTTTAATTGTCTTTATAAACAGTCTTTACATTCACATATACTCCCCCCCCCACTGCGTGAAACAACTAACGGCATGTAGTAAATCTTCAACGTGTGTTTAAATTATTTAAACGTTTACAATAGTAAAAATAATAATAAATTTAATTTATTAAAACAATAATCAAGTGGTTACTTGATTAATTATAAAAATTAAATTTTATGGAATAGTATTCCATTAAATTTTATTTTTGTTTGGAAGAGTTGGAAGGTAAGTATGTACCACCTTGCCGCAAAAAAGTATCTGGGATTTTTAGTCGGGAAAATAAATTAAATATTTAAAAAAATTTGTTCAAAGTTAATTGGAACGTGTTCAAAGTTAAATTGGAGTGATTTTTCCAAACATATAAAAATCATTAAAACAATACAAATTTAAATTTTTTCGAATTTTTTGTAAGCTTAGACGATTATCTTTTCAAATACTACAAACTTAGATCGCAAACTCTTTTTTTTTTCTCCACATACCTATGATTTTTCTTCTTATTTACTCACTATTTACTTCTAATATATCTTACTTATGTACTCAATTGTGGTTTTCTTCATTTATTTTTTGTCGTCATTTTTTCTGAACTGGAGTTTTTTTCCGCATTGACGAGTTCATAATTGGCATATAGGGTACTAGCTAAAGACTGCCAAGACTTCACCTATCAGTCATAATTGTTTAAAATGTTTAAAAAAAATTACATTATTCACTAAAATATTATTTACAATGAATAATTTACATTACATAATTCACTAAAATATTATAGTACGGTATCTTCAAATAACTGCTTAAAATCATAAAAATGTCCTAAATTTTCAATTCATTAACATTGTAAAAAAAGAACTGCATAACAGAAGCAATAAGACCTTTGTTTTAAGGAGATTCTTTTATGATCAAAATATTTCTAAATGATTTATGAAAGAAAACTTACATTGTTACAATTCCACCATCACTCAGTTTAAGAGAATTGGGTTTGCAACTCAAAGAATTTATTTTATACCCTTTCGTAATTTGCTTCAAAGCAGGCATAAAATCTAACAAAAGAAACAAAAGAAATATTAATTATATAAAATTATAATAATAGTCTTATTATTAATTTAGAGATTTTCTAGAGATTTCTTTATTTACATTTGAAATAATAATAATGATAAAATTAAGAATTTGTGCGTCTGCCTGTTTGTGTGTCTCTTTTTGAACTTTAAAACCGTTTGTGCTAAGGCCATGAAATTTAGGCAATGGGTGAAAGGTGAAATCGATTCGAATCGAAATTTAAGTATGATTTAATCGAAATTTTAGAACGATTTTTAGAATCTTTCGATTCTAAAAATCGTTCTAAAATTTCATTTAGATCGTTCAGGAGAGATGTTTGAGAGAAATTTTTTTTTATTGGCTTTAAACCATTAATATAAAATAAACTGTTGACAATTGTATTTTTCGAACATTTTAAAGATGACATCAGCGATGAAGACTACCTTAAAATTCTCACTAAAAAAAGAAGAGTTTATTGCACGTTCTTCAATTCTTCATTATGTCAGATAAGAATATATATATTATCGGCAAAGTTTGAAATCCGGCATTCTATAGAATGCCTAGGCATTGTATATAATGCCTAAAACTAGCCGGCAATGTATGAAATGATTTATATTTCACAAATTTCCTAGGCATCCTATAGAATGCCAAATGAGAGACCGGTAAAGTATAAAATCTTCTGTGGCCATGCTAGTAAAGGTGATGAAATGGATATTTTGTGCAATATTTGTTTCCAAATTGAAAATAATTGTGACTTAAATGTGTATTTTTTATATGAAAATTTTGTTTCCCTTAATAAGAAAGGCATAAATTATGTTTTGCACAGCTTACATTTTTCTTTACACATTTTGAATAAATTCTTTTTAATGGCACTCTCATTAATTTTCAGAATAACATCTTTATTTTTGAGAAATGCGCATCATTTACATAATAACCTCATCAGGACGTTTTTTTTTCACACTTTGCCTAAATAGCATTTGTCATTCTATAGAATGCCTAGGTATTATATACATATACAATGCCTAGGGAAAGTATCTAAAACTTCTTATATTTCATACCTTGCCTAAAAACATCCGCCCTTATATACTGCCAAGACATTTTATAGAATGCCGGTGCATCATACTTTGCCGGTAATATATACATAGTCCACATGACCAAGTTCACGTGAATAAATTCATGTAAATATGGTTGACTAAGTTGACCGTGATCAACGAAATCCAACATAAATATATTTTTCAATTTTGTATAATGAGCCGCATATTGTTAAAAAAATTAATAAATATCAATCGTTTTTATCAAGCTTTTTGTCTACTAAGTTTCCTGAAATTCTATGACAGTGTTGATAGTGATTGCAATGAAGACAAAAAGTAGTTGTCAAGTTTCAAAATCTCTACCATGCAACACTTAGTTTTTCAAATGCACAGTTGAGTTGGCCTCGAACAACATCATTGAGCCAATCGATACTAAATACAGTTTATCTTTATTTTGATGGAATGGACAGCTAAAAATGTGTTTCGCTTAATCTAAGCCACCAGAAAGGATAATTGGACAAATAAAAAAATTGGAATTATTTAGTTTTATTAATTGTGTTGGTGAATGCATTCCAATTGTGTGTATGATTTAGTATTGTTGCTCATCAGTGATTTATTGATTATACACTTTCTATTCACACCGCACGAAGAAAGTTTGTTCAGCTTGTTAGAAAGAATGAAGTTACTGTTTGGAAATTTCCGACTTAATAAACTACAATCTACTGCCGTCGATGCTGTTCAAACAATAAAAAATCGATTCAATGAAACAGGTAGGAGATATGAAGGTTTAAAAATAAGTAAATGTTTAGTTTAGATTTTTGTTTCTTTTTCTAAGAATATTTCCTTAATAAATTAAAAAATTTCTGAAGTGCAATAGCATTAATTTCCACAAAACCGTTACTAGTCATGCAACCATAAAAATTTAAATTATTCGTGGTACGACCTAATATCTGCGAATCACAGATGTGAGGTCTCACCCTTGCGGTAGCAATAGAACTCTCTACAGGTGCGACTAAAACTTTTTGAAAAAATAAACTTTTTTTTAATTTATTTTAATTCATTCGCAGTGTTAAAAATGGAGTAATCGCATAGCTATCATTCCAATTTATGCAAATTACTCCGTTTATTCTTTGCACTTTTCAATTTCATATGCATTTCTTTTATTATCACTGTTAACAGTTGAATTTTCCCATTTGGAAAATATTGTTAATTTAAATAAAGTAGAAGAAAACGTATCCGAGTACAGGCCGGCTCATCATCTATTTTTGCACCAAAGAGCTAACATAAGCAGAATACTAACATAACGTTAACTTGCGAACTTTTTTGCTCCAATATTGCTTGATAGGTCAGCTCTGATAGTATAGGAGCCTTACTAATAATAAAGCTAACAAATGATGCAATTTAGTATTTGCATCGCAAAAAAAGTGAGGTGATTATGCCTAAAAATGTAGTTTAAATTAGATTAAATTGGATATCTATAAGTGATGCCATGCTTGTGTTGAATCTGATGGATTTCTAAATCGACAAATGTCACGATTTACTGACGATGACGTCACTTGCAAATATCCGATTGATTACTTGCAACTCGAGAAGAAGTGAAGTAATTATGTTTAAATCATGCGATTTAACTGGATACCAGTAAGCGACGTCAAACGAGTTTGGAGAACCTGATTGGCTTTTGATTTGTCAAATGCCACGATTTACCTACGATGACGTTACTTGCAGATGTCCGATGGGATACTAGCAACTCGAGAAGAAGTGAAGTGATTGTGCCTAACCGTATGATTCAAATCAAATTTAACTGGATACTTGCAAGCGACTTCGATTGGCTGGTGCGTCGAACTAGATTGGATNGTACTAGCAACCCGATATGATACTAGCAACTCGAGAAGAAGTGAAGTGATTGTGCCTAACCGTATGATTCAAATCAAATATAACTGGATACTTGTAAGCGACTTCGATTGGCTGGTGTGTCGAACTCGATTGGATTCTAAATCGACAAATGCCATGATTTTTTGACGTGCAGATGATTAGATTCTTTCAACTGGAGAAGTGGTTATGCCTAACCATGTTATTTAAATCAGATTTAACTGGATACCTGTAAGCGACGTCACGCGAGTATGTCGAACTTGATTGGCTTCCGATTCCGCAAATGCCACGACTTACCAACGATGAAGTCACCAGCAGGTGTATAATTATAATTATGATGAGATCCAAATGAATATTAGTCACTTACTTGATATATTAAAATCAGATGGATTACAGGTGTCAGGTAGACATATGCCAAGAGTCACAGGCATTGGTAGAAGATCCTGGAAAATATTGTTGCACAGTATAGAGATCTCATATGAAACTTATACTAAAGTATTAATTAATAAACTTTTACCACAGACAACTTCAAGCTGCAATATTTCCCATGAAAATTCCCGGCGTCACTGTTCTTTTTCTTCGGAGCATACACACTTTTACACTCATCGAAATCCCCGAGAAATTTTAAATTTCCCTCTAAAATTCCAGTTTCTGGTTTTCCAAATGCATCAAGTACTAAAATATACGAAATCGCTTTGTTAAACACGTTGAGTACATTACAAATATTAAGATATTTTTTGCTACGCAGGGGGTGGACAAAACAATATAAACACTTCCATAATATTGCTTTTTTCATATTTGTCAAGAAAACCTTAAAGAATCATTTTATAACTTCAGAAGTATTTCGATCATGCGATTGCTTATACTTGTCAATGAAAAAAATTTTTGTTTTAAAGGTTAGAGGGAGCAATAATAAATAACAAACAGAAAATAGTGTTTTTGAACACCCTATGTCAAAAAAGTAAGCAATAAATTTGTAGCTTGTAACAATTACTTTGGTCATTATATGAAATAATTGTACAAAATTTCGTAAGTCTAGATTAAATATTCACGCAGATATGGACATTCTTATAAAAAAAAATTATTTTTTTTGTCGTACATTTTCTTTGTTATAACTTTAAAAATATTCAATGGAATTAATATTTTTTTCTCATAATTTTGTAGTGAAGCGTAATTGGCAATTATTGAAAAAAACCCGATTTGAATGTCTTGAAAGTTTANACGGTATTCAAAAGCAAAAATTAACACGTTGAATGCCATGGGGGGTCACCGGTGACCGGCACTAAGTTTGTTCGTAGCTCCACCGGGTCATTGGTGACCTCAGTGAATTAAATGTGTCACGAATGATTACAAAAATTAACTGTTTTGTTCTAAATAATATTTCATCAAAATATGCAACGCATATTAGAAAATCATTTTGACCAGTCGGGCAAGACATGTAAAATTAGCGTGGCATTCAGCGTGTTAATGGGAAAGTGGTACTAATTCGTTTAGGAAAAACATAAAAAATTGGCACCAATTATGCTTAATTAATTAAGGTAATGTATGCATATTGAAATAAAAGAAATAAGCAATATGCTAGAAAACGAAAGAAATGGAGTAAAGGTATTTGTCTAAAACAACAGAAATAAATCGTCATACTATCATTGACGACAATGATGATTAATTAATGTTGGTAATATGTATTAATTGAAATAAAAGTAAACTAACTTCTGAACTCAAAAGCAAAAATAAGTAGAAAAAATACTTATTCGCGTTATGGGTAACCATTAAAAAAATCTGCATATTATTATTGACACTAAAGCTCAATTAATGGCGTTAATGGAAGTAAAATACAATAAGCTATGTGCTCAAGAGCCAAGCTCGTGAAAGAAAGATTAATGGGAAATTTATTTAAGAAAACCGTAAAAAAATTCCCATTCACAGATGACGCTTAATTCATATGTATCACTGACGGTAATATGTACTACTGGTATTATGGTAATTGGCGAATTGGCTCTGATAAGAATTCTACAACGGCTTTTCCGCAGTTTCAGAAAATATTTTTTCCAGTGGTATTAATATCCAGTGTATTAATATTTTAAAGAATTAGAAATCAATAAAAATTTTTCCACCACTACTTATAAATATTTTAACAGTAAATTAAAAGTCAGATAGAGAAATGATCAGACTCCAAAATCCTTATAAAGTTCGAATGTATATTTTTTTTTAAAAAATTCGGCTTTAGTTGGCTGCCACTGACAAATATGTATAAACTCAAATGCCGAAGGGCTATATAACAAGTACCAAATATACTTATATAGGTATAAAATATTATATTGATATATTTGATGATTTTTAAAACTGCACCAAACAGTTTTAATACCTATACTTTGGAATTAAGTGCTTAATTTAAGGGGAATTTTAACTATCATGAATCGGCCATGAGCAATAGCATCATGCCAAGAGATGTTAAATGCATTTCCTCTTTATTCAATGGTATGAATTACAAACAACGAGCTTTTCTTGCTTCATTAACATAAAGCCACCGAAGATAACAACATATGACATTAAATTAAAAAATTGAAATTATTTCAGCTGTATTAATTGAAAAACTTAGTGAAAGAAACAGGTTAGTGACATTTTCAGAACTAAAAAAAAAAAGTTGCATCTGAACTATTTTATTACCAATCTATTAGAAAGCGGGACAACTATTTCTTTGTTTTTATTTATTTACCATGACCTAATTTGTAATAAAAATCATGCAAGAGTGCTGAAAACTGATGTAATTAGTTATGTTAAAATTTAAGTGAAGGCAAAAACAGTTCTGTTACATTAAACATACCCGTATTTATTCAACCACTTTTTTTTAAATCTCGTTAACTCTGATTCATTAGTTCCCCATAAAATATCACTTATCTGGTTCTTCCAAGTTCTTTAATTGCGTCGGTGTATGATTTTCAGTTTGATTTCATGATTTCGTAGTGTTTCTCAATACTGATTTATTTTTTTTCTTATTTATTTTTAAATATTCCTGTGAGAAGAACAGGTATTCAACTAGTTTTGTATAAAACAAAATTAAATAACAAACGATAGTACCTTACAATATACGTATATGCACCTAAATATAATTGTAAAAGGAAAGATAATATGCTAGAGAAAAGATACTTTTCTGGGGAATGATCCCCAATAATACTAGTGTCATTTTTAATAAATCTAGTTTAATAGTAAGAAATGGAATTTGTAGAAAACCCCTTATCATTTTAAGCTTTATCTTAAAAAATACGAAAACTACTTAGAAAATTGCTTAAAACTTTTTAAATTTTTAAGATATTCAAATCGAATTTTTTTTTATTTGTAGCCAAATGTAAATTTTTCACTTTCATGCGAAGTATAAAAGAACTACTTTAATTACTCATATCATGCGCAGTCTTACGCAAATTTTTCCCAAATTTAAAAGTAATAATTTCGCAATTAATTTCAAATTGTTCAAGAAATTTTGTTTAATTTTATTGAACATTCTTTAAGTTATATCAAAACCACATGACAAAAAAATTAGTTTCCAATAAGTTCATAAGTTATGGTTCACGAAAATTTGTGCAATTATTACATATAATGACCAAAATAATTGCTACAAGTTAAATTTGTCGCTATATTTTTTGTCATAGGGTGTTTAAAAACTCTATTTCTTGTTTTTAATTTATTGCCGGTTCCTCAAACCTCCAAAAAGTTTAAACTTCATTGATAAGTACGAAGAAGCGCATATACTAAACACTTCCAAATTCATAAAATGATTCTGTAAAATGATTTTTTGAGAAACGTCATAAAATGTGGTAGTATAGGTAGTGTTTCCATTATTTTGTCCATAAATCTGCACTGACATAAGACTGTTTCTCTAGGCCAGGAGTATCAATTGTCAATCAGATGCAAGAATTGTATCCTGGCCTTCTTCTAGGCCAGGATACAATTCTTGCATCTGATGTAATTAGATTTGCGGCATGTAGCTCCAAAATTCTCCAAAATAGTAGTATCGAAAGATGTTCGAGTTTATTATCAAGAGAAAATTCTCTCAAATTTCACTTCTGAAAATTTGCGCGTCTGAATCAAGTCTATTGTATCAAGTTACACTTTTCTTAAACAAAAAAATTACACCAAAGGTTGTATAAATTATCTATCACCTAATTAAGTACTTTAGAAACAAAACAAACTTATACCAGGTTATAGTTTCCGACTAGAAATAACTTTTTAGCAAGCAAATTCAGTATTAATAAAAAATTAGCAATTTGTTTGACTTATAGTGATGTTAATATCATGATAAAAGTACCAAGAATTTTTCTGTTTTGTTTTTGAAAGCTAATTATTTAATGAAATATATGGTTAGTTAGCATTTTTTTCGTATGAATAAAATACACTTTGAATTGTTAATATTAATTTTAAAAGAAAGTAAAACAGATATAGGCTATTGTTCTGAGATTCCACCAGTACCAGTTGTATATCACTTGTAGACGTTTTTTAAGTAATCGATCATTAATTAAAAAACCATTAAAATCATTAAGAATAATGAGTAAAAATTAGGTGTGGACAATAAGTAAATTAAAATTGAATATGACAATGATTAAAAATGTATCCTTTTACTCATTTTGGGAAAAATAATAGCTTACATAATTGGATAATTTTTTGGCATCCCTAGCAAAAATGTCTCTGTAAGAAAAAACTTGAAAAGAGAAATAATAAATTTTTAATATCCATGTGTAACAAAGCAAATGTGTACTAAAAACTTATTCAATTAGGATTTGCAAAATTATACCAATTTATATTGTAAAGAAAAATATCTATTTCAAAAACACTTATTCCCAATTTTGAAGATAAAACAAAACAAAAGCACTTACTTTTCAAAGCCCAAGAATTTTGAATATCCTTGAAATTAATATTTTCTTTTACATACTTCAAATCTCGGTCACAGCTGCTGTTTGGAGATGCAGCAAAAATATTATTCATAAGAAGAGAAATAATAGTTTGATAGTCAATCAACTTAAGGTAATCTTGGAAATCAGTTCCGATCAAAAATCTTTCTTCTTTTTTCTGTGCTTGGTTTGCATTGATAGTCTTGTCACGAATACGTTGTCGAACGTCATCAAATTTAATGATATTATCTGGAGCTGTTGCACCCAAACTGTAATTTATGCTTCCCAAAACATAAACATACAGCAAAATGATTCCGGCTGCAGTATATTTCATAGTTGTAGTCTTGAATATTACTTTTAATATAGATTCCAACAGAAAGTAGCAATTTTTACTTTCAGAAAATATCTTCTTCATAACAAAAACAATTTAGTGTAGGAACAATACTATTATCTGATAAGTTATCTAAACTGAACTTAATCATTATTACGTAACTGAGAAAAGTGAATAAAAGAGGTGTATTTTATGAATTATTGCAAAACATTCGATCTATTTTTAAACTAAATTCTCTATTTTAAAATTCGTTAAATCCGCCTACGCTGCTTTAGGCGTTCAACATTTGACATTTTGTTTTGCTGCGCAAAAACAGCATGACTTAGAAGTTTGAAATTCCAGTTTGTTCGAAATTCATTGTAATTTTAAATGCCTTCTTGCGAATTGTTTCCCATTTTTTTTCTACGATACATTTTGTTTTGCCTCGCAAAACGCTATAAAACTTAGAAACTTAAAATTACGAAGGTGCGTTAAAAACGTATAAAGGCGTTTGATAGCGTTAAGTATATAAATAAGGATTTGATTATTAGTTCGAGATTTAACAGTAAAAAAATTTTGGTTGATCTACTGCTTGCTGAACTGCAATTACAGAGTTGAAATTTTACGTGCCATTTTAATACATTGACGTGTCACCATTTTAAGTTTATATAAACTTAATGAGAATTTTTCTCCTAATGAGAATTTCCAAATTCCAATTCCTTAAAATGTTATTGCTGTTTTAAATGTCTTTTTTTTACTGTCATAATAATTATCTATTTATTGTTGTATAAAAATTTTATCTCACGCAATCTTCATTTTATAAACTCGAGCTTGACTTGATATCGAGACATAAAAAATGAATCTATACAGAATAAGATAAAGATAAGATGTTGCCAGGTATACATCTTAACACTTATATCGAAATTTTTAAAAACATATTAAGACTGAAAAGAGTTAAAACTGTATCCAATGCGAATTATTATGTGATATAAGGTTATCGTTATATTGCTAATAAGTAAAATTACTCCGCATTTATTGTTTCTTATTGCGTCACATCCTGTATTCCTTACCTTAAATGTTTGTTTTCAAATGCAGTAGATAATTTTTCAAATCCAGGTATTCTTTTATTCAGAGGGGTTGGTGAGTGGAGCGAACAGGCTATGCCATGCGATATCATACCTGGATTCTTGCCCCAAAATTATTTCTGCATTGAGCCCTCTTTATAACACATGAATGGGTTTAATTCTGCAATCTAATATAATAAGATGAATATATAAAATATAAATCACGGAAGTTTCTATTTCTCACTTTTTTGAAATTTATTCAGAAATATTTTTTTCGAGAAAATTAACATTTTTATCAATCTAATTAAATGACATTTCCGCTCATAATATTAAATTTTTGAAGAGTAGAGGAGAGTGGGGTCAATTGTAACTTTTTTTACTTAACTATTTTTAGCTAACAAAAAATCCAATATATTATTAGTATTAATTGACAGACCAGTAAAGTAGACTACCCTCTACTAGAAAAAAAATACCTTATTTTAAATGTTATTATATTAGTAATTAACAATTTTCGACAGTCGTGCACTTGTTACAATTGTCCCCACTTACGGGGTCAATTGTAACAGTTCATAAATTCAACTAAAACATAGTGAATTATACATATTATAGTTGTGATATATTTTCTTATTGATCGAAATAGTAGTGATATTTTAGGAGTAAAAATAATAATGGGCATAGACCTAAAGGGTTAAACTTTTAACTTTAAGGGGTTAAAAATTTTAATTTATGCTGTGAAAGGTGAGAAATAAAATAATGCACATGCAACATAATATAAATGATATAGGAAACTATTGGCGGTTCTTAAAGAGTTTAGTAATGGTTTGTAAACATAAGATTATTTATTTTCAGCTGTTACAATCGTCCCTTTACTTATTGTTACAATCGGCCCCAAGGCGCCATTTCAGCTTCATTTGTTAAAAACAACGCTAGTTAATTAACAAAACTAATCTTATTTTTTTTGAAATGTTAATTAAAGTGTCCACTTACATATACGGTTAATAATTTTTATTTGTTTAAACAAAATTACTTTGTTACAATATAGTATTCTAATACCAAAAAAGTACTTACGTAGCGTGAAAATATCTTTTGTGATGTAACTCTTTCAAAAGTACATAAAAATGGTTGTCAGCAGGGGCGTGCATGTAGATTTATTAAATACACCTTGTGCGCCACCTAGGAACCAAATCTAGAACCCGACACTCGAAATTTTTGCTCTGTTACACTCGTACCCTGTTACAATTGACCCCACTCTCCCCTACTCTATCTTGTTCTTTTCAAATCCTTAGCATAAGTAACTCAACATTTCAGCTGATTTTAATGATATTTGTTTTATGCAACTAAATAAATCTTATAATGCAATACCTTTTTTTATTTTTGCTGATAAATTCTAAAATTTGTTCTGAGATTTGAATTCATGCAATTAGAATAACTAAACCATACAGTGAACGGAGGTAATTTTCTTCAAAAATTCAAGTTTTGGGGCACTTAGAATTCAGTTAGCATTGAGGAAATAAAGTATTCACGTGACAAGCTTCTTCGCACTTTTCTATTGCGAATTTCTAAGTGGTTAAGTCATTAAGTCTTCATTGTGAAAAACTGGGTTCAGATCACCGACTGGGTTCAGATCAATCCAGATTTTGATAGTTTAGTTTCAACTTGTCTACGAAGTATTACTAGTCTGGAAGGAGCTATGCTGTACCACATTGTCATCATCGGGATGTTGTGTGTGTGTTTTTACTACTTTCATTTCTAAGTTACCCTCATTGTTCAGTTATTTCTATTGTGAATTATTCATTAGTCTTATCTAAACTATCAAATAAAACTGCTATCAAATAACCCATTTTCTATCAATAACAGACCAAAAATGTAATTATTAAAATTTTTTGTCAGGTTTTCATTTTATTATTATTAGAAAAATTTTTCTCCATTATTTATTTTTCATTATTTTTACATCTACGTGAAAAATGATGTATAAAATAAGTACTGTTAGAGTAAAATTTAAACTGGTTTGATAAATGTAGAACATAATTGAAATTTCCAAAGGTTAAACTATATTTAGCTTTATATTTAAGATAGTGTATTGATTTTTCAGATAAACTGCGTTTTTATTTTCGATTATATTTAAATTAAATTCCAGGCTCCAGTAATGGTATGTCTAAATCAGCTAATGGTAGTCAATATCGAAGATTACCGATTAGAGCAAAATACTCTTGAAAAGGACCGGGATAGCCTCGGTAGGGCGCTGAGACCATGTCCGAGAGTTCGTGGGTTCGAACCCCGCCGGCCGAAGACTCCCCGTGTAGTAAAGTGACTGATGCACGTTAAATCTGTCGAGTCACAAAAGTCCTCCATGTTCCCATAACAAATCAATACCTCTGGGGGTATTGGATTGCAGATCAATCGTTCTCTGATTCAGGTCGAAATTACGATCTGTGGATGAAGGAATGGGTGTATGAATGGGTCCACCCTACAAACGGGTGCGGCATATTGTGTGGCAGAAGTCGAATTCTTGGCCATAGAAGTCGCCACTGAAAAACAAGAAACGTACACTTTGCCTTAAATTTGCTCGGTTTCACCAAGCAGGCTTGCTAATATGGCAAGTGGCATTAGAAACAACAACTCTTGAAAATTTTATTGGCTGCAATTTGAAACATGCAGAATCTGTTTCAAATGATTTAGCCAACATTTTTTTTAAGAAGATATGAAACAGACACCTTTTCTCATTGTGTTACTTCTATAATTCATTTATGATCATTGGTAAGATGTTTCAAATAGTTTTAAAATAAAAATTCATTTTTAAAAAAAAACGTAAGGACGAAAATAAAACGTTAAGTTGAATACCCCTAACAGAGACTGACGTCGCTATTTTAGGTGTTCATCTTAGCGTTATATTTGGTTAGACTGCTCAAAAACTAAGAATTTGAAATTTCGCAAGTGTGTAAAAAATACACAGGGTGCACAATGAAATAAAAGTAACACTTGATAGTTAGTTCGAGAATTACTAGCTGTTCAACTTTAAGGAAAAATTTCAAATTTAAATTTGTTATGCACCTATTGTATATTTTAATTTACGTTTGTGTAATTGTCTTGTAAGTGAATAAGTTATGTTCTTATTAAATCATCTCTTTTTTACTGTGTTTATGACTCAGTTTCAAAATAACAATATTTTCAAGTAGCCTTACTCAAAGTACATAAGTCTGCAGTTTATTTAGGTATAGTTTAAATAGGGTGATCTAAGCAAGCGCCAAAAATTGCTTAATTTCTTGAACTTCCAAAGTAATCTGCAAATAAAATCTTTACTGAAACAACAGTAAAGTTTCTGTGTGCTTAAACTACTTTATGCAATTTACTTTAGTTATGGCAGATTAGAAATAAAATTTTATATATTCGATAAAATAGCTAAGTACAACGTCATTTATTCGGAAAAACAATGACTTTGAAATTGCATTTTCTGGAATAAAAAATATTAATTTCCAATATTAACAAATTAATGTTTTTAAAATTTTATTGAAATAGTTTTAAAAACCATTAGAGTTTTTAACCAAAGGTTTCAAAGAGCTTCGCCAATCTTTACCTCTTGTTGGAGAAAAAGGTTAGCTTTTGATTATTCTTCCTTGAAATTCAAACTACAAAGAAATTCAAATTCAGTTTATTTTGGAAAAACGAAACATTTAGGCGAAAAAAGAATCAAATTGCCCCTTTATATGTTATTAATCTCCCCAGAAATGCTTGGCTGATTTTTCTAGATGTAGCACTTAATAATTATAAAGCTGATTTCATGTTTCTCTTTGTAAGACGTTAGAGAAGCACTTTAGCAATGAAAAAAAGGTATTATTAAATAAAGGGAAAAATTTCTTTAAAATGCAATATATTTCTAATGAGTGTTTGTTTTTAGTACACTAGGATGCCCCGCTCGCAAACCTTTAATTGCTTCTCAATCATAAGTTATTTCTTCTAAACATCAATATATTTCCCAGAAAAGATTTTTGTCTTCAAAATATATCGTTATTGGAGTGATATGCAAGAACTTTTTGTTAATTTATTAACTGTACCAAAATAGCTAGATATGAAAAATCATCTGTATTTTGAAAGAAAAAATTTAACTGAAAGAATACAGATTGTACCGTTAAATCCTATATTCAATCAATGAGAAACTCCGAAAGAAGAGATGATACGCTAAACAATACGATAAATTAGATCGAAACTAAGAATACAGGTTGTGAGAATGGATTAGAAGAAATAAATGAAGTAAATTTACCAGTTGCCGAGACTTATAACATTAAGTAGGTGCAATTAAAATTTACATGCTGCCAGATATAAATCTTAATTATATAATCTCCAGCGAAAAACATAAGAGACAAATTGCATTAAATGCAGCTCTATTCTTTCATGCAATTTGTTGAAAAAAATTCATTTTAACAAATTTAAACTCACGATTGTATGTGTGTGCCCGCTATCT